AAAAAAAAAAAAAAAAAAACAGGCCAGGATGATGAACTTGCACGTGGCCTGTTTCTGTGTATCACTTTGGTGAGTGTACTAATAATAAATTTCATCACACGAATCGAGAGATTCACTGAATTGATCCGTTTTAAGGGGGTGTAAACTCGTTCGTCTTGAAATGGACTACCGTTGCAAAAGCAGAATCTGCAAACAGAGCTTAAACTAGAATTTAAACTTACGATTCTGTCACATCCTTGTACTCGAAGTTCTTGATGGTTTTTTGCCTACTTAACAAGGCTTACCTCAGCTAAGTTATCTCTTTCCTTCTTCCTTGTCGACTCTTGCACACTCTGCAGCAAACCAAACAGGTTTGCAAGAGATAGAAAAGATACGTTTACTTAACCTGTAGAGAAGATTCTTTAGATTCTCTATGCTAGAGTTAATTCCCAAGACACTTTTTAAGGACTGGATAAAGTTCAGTTTAGGCCAATCAGCGAGACAGAAAGAATAGTTTTTACATCGTTGGGCAAAGCGTGTTGCAGCATGTATATCTTGAAATCAGTCGGGAGACGGAAGTTTCCTTTGAAAATTCTCTTTGCATTTTCAAGAAGCTTCCTTACTGTGTCGTAATAATCAATTTTGGTGAATTGTTTATTGCAGGTTTGAGAAAAAATAATAGTTCCGCGGCGTTAAAAAGCGCAGTGTTTCGTGCTGAGGTACCATTGCATGCAAGATGCTTTTTATAGAGTCAGGGGAAAGAGTATTATCAGTTCTGGGGGTAAATTGTTCAAATGAATGAAATGTTCACACTATCAGGTTAATCAACCCGTCAAGTTGGGATTTAATATCTCAGTAAATAACTTGTTTTAGGATCGAGTAACTTATTGCTGTTAATTGAATTATAATGAACGTCGGTAAAATTCAAAAGTGGAGGATGTCACAAGTTGGAAATCACTGCCCCATTTGTTCTTATGATAGAATCATGAAAATCAAAGTGCTTTCGTGAAAATAGTGACAGTTAGCAGTTTGAATCATGGTAGGGGGTTCAAAGGGTTATTCTGAATATGGTACATATCATGGTTAAGACTGACAGAAATCCCAACTCTAATACCACAAAGGTAATACAAAGGAAGAAAGAAAAAAAAAACGAGTGTAACGAAATGATGAAGGAATTAAGGTGCCATAATCTAGAGACGACGAAGATAGATTACAATGTCCTCGTAATTAAATTAACTAAAATTCAGGTAAAGAGATATAAACTGGTTATTCGGTTACATTAAAACCTCTGTAAAGCCCTTGAGAAGTTGATTTCTTTTTCAATTGACTTAGCCTTAGCTTTTGAGAGGGTCTACTCGGAGGTGAGGCTATCACAGTTATATCAGGGAAATGTCCGGCATTTTTGTTAGGTATCAGTTAAATTTCATGTCTCACCTATCGGTACATTTTGCGGGTCTCATCTATCATCTGTTAGACGGAGCATGGGTCGTCAGCCGTCAGTTATAATTTTGACCAATTTTCGTGAGCTATGAGTTGAACACCTCTTTCGAGGTACAAGGGATGGGTGGGGTGGACTTAAGGAGGGTTAACACTGAAGACAAGGGGGTATATGAGAGGAGGGGGCATACGAAAATGCAAACGTGCGAGGAACGTGCGAGGTCTAAATATTTAATGACGCTTTACAAAATAAAAAGAGTAGCAAACGAACATCTGTTACTAAGGAACAAGTCAAAATATAGCAAACATGAAAGCTATACCTGGCTGAGGGGGGGGTTTAAGTCAGTTGCTCAACAGAAAAGGGTTTTATTAAAAAACTTGAAAACTCACAGTGCAGGCAATGCAGTCGGAGATTATTGCAGTTTCTGTTTCCTGTGCCCATTTATACACCTGGGTGGCGCGAGGCTCTTTATGAGTGAACTGACTTGTCCAAGAACGCAACACAATGACATCACCCTGGGAGGGCTTGAACCCAGACCACTCGATCCGGAGGCCAACGCGCGAATAATTAGGTGCATGATTAGAGATGGCCTGAGACTTGGTAAGGTAAAAAAGGTAAGTGAGGGCAAAAACGTATCAATGAATATTGATCAAAATACACGTGTAAGGCTAAAGGTCCGGTAATACGAGCAACATTTTCCTTCAACTTGTCTCGCAACATTTTTGTATTGCAAGTTGAAACACATTGTTGCGCGTATTACCACGTTTGTGACCAACTTGTCTCACAGCAAAATACAGCGTTGCAAGTCTGCAGAATTCTACAGGTATAATTGCTTAATCGTGTGTAAATAAAGGTAGCGCCTTCTTTAATATAATTTAGCATTTCAATGAAGTTCCACTTCGACTTCTGACCGTCACTTTCTTCTTAATTTTCCGTGCCAGCGAAGTTCTCTCAGTATGAAGCTCAGTGTCGTTTCAGATAGCTAAGCGAAAAGTTGTATTTTTGCGACAGTTCTTCCTGACCTTTTGCCTTTTTTCCTGCTTGTTTTGAAGGAACAAGCGAGGTGTCTCAAAGACTATGATAGCCCTCGATGTCTTCGTAAAGGACAAAGTTATGACTTTCCGAGAGTTACTGGTCTACTTCCAATTCAGGCTCGCGCGCTTCGCGACAGCCAATCACAAGCGTTGAATTCAAATTTGCTGCGAGACAAGTTGTAGCTTCAGTGGTAATACGAGCAGCAAAACTAAAATTTGTTGCAGAAAGTAGAACTCGAGTCTACTTTGCACAACATGTTGCCTCAACTTGCAACACTGTATTTTGCTGCGAGACAAGTTGGTCAGAAACGTGGTAATAGGCGCAACAAAGTGTTTCAACTTTCAATGCAACAATGTTGCGAGACAAGTTGAAGAAAAATGTTGCCCGTATTACCGGACCTTAAGGGAGAAGAAGTTTTTAGGAGCCTAGCATTTCAAATATACCCCATCGTACTATTTCAGGAAAAAAACGTGTGGCTTACTTCAAGCAAACTAATTCACAGCGTGACTTAACACGACTTACGATTCTTCGGTCATATCATTTTTGACGTGTTCCTACGCGTCCTGTAAACTTGAAAAATAAAAATACTAAAAAAGAGAGAAGCGACCTTTAGCAAGAGAGAATCAGGTAGGTACCTTGATCTGCTCTTGCCTTTAGGTATTACGGTTCAAGAGAATTTGGATCATGATCTATTGTACGGCTATACGTTATTCTCGTACCCAGAATTAGAGCCACCCGTCCTTGTTGGCCGGCGGGGCCTTGGCACGAGGAAAAAGCTGGACCGATATTTTCTACTCCTCATGGGATTTTATATGCACAGGAAACTCAAGGCTTTCACCAGCAACGAAGCTATACTTGCTAATTTGTACTTGGCAACTTAATTTTGAGGAGACAGCTTGGCCTAGTCGTTAGAGCGTTGGATTTGTTATCTGGTGGTCCCGAGTTCAAATCCTCTTACCGCCACTAGATGGATTTGTATTTGGTGGTCGAAGACTCAACTCCTCCGCGCTTGTAAATATATAGCCAGCTGATTAGCCCCCCAGCAGTTGAGATTTTTAACAAGTTTCTGTTTAATTTACAATATTTGTTTGTTTCTTTCAGTGTCCGCAATTAGGACAGCAGTGCTAAACACTTGGACACATAAATAAAGTGATTAATTAATTAAATTTATTTATTTCACCTCGATTCCTAATTTCGACGCGAAATTTGTGATCGACCTTAATACAAACGTAAATAAAGCGCTTATTTTGGCTTTCGTTTCAAAGTGTCTATAACTAAAATCTTGTGGTTGCAATGATGTTTGCATCCGTTAAGAGACTCTCTTTACTTGCAGGGCACCCGGAGTTTCCTACGTGCTGGCAGCGACATAAACAGACTTGAAAGATTATCTTTTCTAACAATTACTTTTTGTCTCGTCACGTTTTACCGTTTCATATTTCTTCACTTTAAATTTTAAAGCACCTGAAAGTATATGCAGTTGTTTAACCGCAGACAGTTCGCCCTAGAGTTTCGAAGAGTGGTTGTTTCGTTTTGAAATCGAACAGAAGAAACGATCTTTATTTATAATTTTGTTTTGCTTGATGAGGCCGAATTACGAGCGCTTCAGCGCGATTCAGTTTACTGTTTTCGCTAGGGTCAGGTTATTCATCATTATCATTTTCACCTTCAAATAATCTTGGCAAGGCAATCGTAACAAACTTAAATAGCCAATTTATTCTAAATGGCTTCCATCTGAACCAAATCCCCTACTGTGATTGGCTAGGTGTAATGGGTTTAATGCTTACCGGCTCGAGATGGCGCGCTGTGACGCATAAATAAATCATTTATTGAACAAGTTTGTTCGTTCAATATGGCTTGATATTAGCCTCGTTCTTTTCTCTTTTTTTTTTTTCGCCTTATTACAGATTTCTACAGCGTCTTGCTCCGAAAAACGCAAAAATATCGAGCCTTCTTGACCCCTCGTTTGGCAAATAACCCTCAACTGTCATCTTTCAAGTGTTTCTCTCTCTCCAGCAGTGAGAGGGGGGGGAAGGAGAGACCCTAGGAACAAGGTTGACTAGCCTACTGATCAAGCTTGTGTAGTCGACAAATCTAAAAGTATCGTCGTTATTTTCTTAGTTCATCTGCGGAGCTTGAGTTTCCCTCGGTGCAGTCCACAAGTGGATTTATATTTCTACATCTTGACCTCACAGTTGGTCAATAACAACTACATGCGAACTTCAATTGCGTTTTCACCATATTAGGAAAGGGAAACATGCACACGTGACGCTCGCGTGTTTAAGTTGTAATATCCTTGTACAACCGGTTTGACGAGCGAATATAACTTGACGAGCATGCTCGCTAGGTGCGAGGGTTGCCTAAGATGGAATGAATGATTTTGGAGTTTTCATAATAGTTGTCGATCTAGGCGGAAAAGCTCCAAGAATAGAAGGAAAATAGACCATATCCGTCACCGCATTTCAAATTCCACCCTATTGAAAGTAGCGCAAACTTATCGCGACATAATGAGCTGGTATGGGATTTTCAGGGATTCCGATGTTAAACAACTTGCATTATATTGAATTTCTGGGTTATTAATGGATCACAAACTTGTCGATTTAAGGAAATGACGGAAATTGATAACGTATAAAGAAACCAGATAGTAACACAACATGGTTTCTCTCTTTTCTAAGCTCTCTTGTCGGCCAAAGTCCGAGCGCGACTTCGTTCTTCGTCGTTCGCGATCGTGACTTCGTCGGCTAGTCGGCACACCATAGCCGCTATGATTAGGTCAGCCGTTTTCACATCGTTCTGTACTCAAACCTTTTTATTTTGACATCGAGTTAAAACTTTCCACAAGTCAAGTCATTTGAGCCTATCAAGCCACTGGTTAAAAAAAAGACAACAACAAAAGAAAATTAAACAAGAATAGCCCACAAACTGAACAATAAATTTTATTTTTTCTAACCACAACATTCACAATTGAAAATAATTTTATAATGTACTATTTATAATGGCTAATCCGACCTTGAAGAGGGGGTAATTTTCATATTAACCCAACAGCAACCATACCGATATGAAACCGAAATATTACAAAAAAATTTTTTTCAAAATTTTAACTTCATATATTTTGTCTCTTAAATAATCTAACTATAAAATAGAGGTCCAAAACAGACATAAGGCTACATGGCACAACAGAGTAAATATCATACTTCAATATGGTTGGCTTTCGCCTTAAGGCTGGCGATCTTTCTAATGCTTCGTCGAAATCTGAACTCTGGATCTCGAATATTATTTGGCATAGAATTCTGGCAGTCAAATAACGCGAAGTTACGGAAAAGAATTGTAGTGTGCAGTAAGTTATTCACTCAACGAACACTTTGAAACCAACCGTGGCCGGAAGCAGGGCTATCCGCATACAACTGCAGCTAAAGGGAAAGTAGATAGCTGGATAAAGATCGATGACATAAGTAAACGTGTCGCACTTGAAAGAAATCGTGTAAATGAAAAAAAAAAAAGCCTTGTCACCATCTGTCTTCTCATTGTTAATTCTGGGAAACAGTGCAACCTACAGATTATTCACTAATCTGCTAGCAGATTAGTGAATAATCCGTAGGTTGCGCAAGCAATTCCAAGACCAATGTCAAGTTTACGAACAGCGAAGCAAGAATATGGTTTGTCGAAAATAAACTGTGTTCGGTACGATAATGCGTTTGTCGTTGTTTTCCTTAAAACAATGTAAAATAAACCATTATTGGATTCGGTTTTTGTGATATCCGAAACAATCAAGGTCTCTGTTAGTGTTATCAGCCGAAGCCTTCGGCTGATAACACTTACCTCGACCTTGATTATTCCGGATATCACAAAAACCTCATCCAATAATTGTTTATAATTTTACATGAATCATACAGGAAGGCGTTACATGTAAGTGAGATGAATTTTGTGAATCCACAACAATAGTCAACCTATATTTAGCTTCCGCATTCTATTTACACGGCCGAATAGATGTTCAAACCCGGAACATCGTGTGAACTGTAGCACATGTAGCTGATGTGAATTTTTTCAAAAATTAGATCTTCAGTGCCTAGCAATGTGGAAAGAAAATGGCCGGCAGTTCACGGAATACCAGAACGGAGAAGACAGCTGCCCGCTTCATGTATCTTCCTGATTGCCGATGCATTTCTTTTACTCGGTGCCATTCATTGCCTTCTCCTCCTCAGCAAGTATTTCTTTCATTTGGGAAGTCCAGTCGTCCATTTGGGTGTCATAGAGCTGGGCAGAAGAATGCAACAAGAATGAAATTAGCATTGCCTTTCAACGAATGCAACCTGCTATTGGCAAAAATTGTGTGAGTGTACCACTCGTCATTCAGTAGAAAAACGGTTGAACTTTTCAAAATTGAAATATTCAAATTCATGTTTAAAAATGTCAACAACAACAACAACAACAAAATTGGGACCAAACGAAAGTACTGCTCAACACATGTAGCTTTTATTTAAATGGTCACACACTAGGGTTTTATCCACAGACTTAAAAGTTAGAACCAGTACCACATGAAAGTACTGCTTAATAGCTTTCATTTGAATGGTCACACAATTGTGTTTTATGCACAGATTTAGAAGTTAGTACCACCTTGTACAGCTTAATAAACTGCGCCACATGAAGGGACTGCTCAGTAGCTTTCATTTGAATGGTCACACACTAGGGTTTTATCGACGGACTAATAAAAGTTAGAACCACCTTGTACAGCATAATTAACAATACCACATGAAAACACATTGTACTTCTCAATAGCTGTCATTTGAATATTTCATCCACAGAAGTATGCATAAAAGCTAGATAAACCTAGCGAAGCAAAATAAAAAGGTTTGGCTAGATGCAAGTGAAAAGTGTAACATGTAGGTTAGCAAGTGTGTTTCCTATATACATGTACATACCTCAGAAACAAACTGCAACACTTGTCGTTTACTGAGTTCCTTCTCAGCTCTTGAGCCCCATCTGTATTCATATGCTGCCTCATCACCTCCTAGTACTTTCTTCCTGTCCACATAACTACAAAACCAAAGGAAAATAGCTTAAGAACGCATTATTCATGATGTACATGTATTATGTGTCATGTTCACTGAGAACATTACATGCAGAGCAAATGTCTGAAAGTAACCATACAGTACTGCTCAAAAGTAAGTTACCACCTCTTATGTCATTTCTCTTGAGATGAGAAACTTGTCTTGCAGAAGAGACAAGGTTCTTACATGTATCTCAAGAGAAGAGAGAACCAGTGAAGCATATGTGAGTGAAGCCTTGGAGCCGAATGGCTCATAGCTGCCAGAGCTTATACCGGTTTCTGTAGCATGAAGCGGCTAGGAGTATTTCTACTCCCCCTAGACGGGATGGTAGTCCATCGCAGGTCACTCCCCTGCAATTTGTTAGGTTTCCCCAACAATTTGCTGCTACCCATTTATACTACTGGGTGGAGAGAGGCACTGTGAGAGTTAAGTGTCTTGCCCAAGAACACAACGCAGTGTCCCTGGCCAGGGCTCGAACCCAGACCACTCGCTCCGGGAACGAGTGCACTAACCATAAGGCCACCACGCCTCCAGTGAATCACAAATAGTCAGCTTGCGGGGCAGCAAAAAATAATAATCAAAAAAAAATAAAAAATAAAAAATAAAATAAATAAATAACTGAGTAAAAACCAAAAAAAATAATAATTTACTAAAAGGGTTGTGTCTTATAGAACTTTACAGTAATGTCCACCCATTTATACATGCTGCATTGGACTAATTTTGTACCAAATGAGAGGCTTTTCAACTTTTCTGTTAAATCCCTGTTCCTCCCAAACATGAAAACAGGTTCACCCTCTAACAGAAGCTAAAAGCCACCTTAACCATACTTTTAAGACAGTACTAAGTAAAGAATGTCATTAAATTTTAGCTTATTATTTTTATTGAACCAACCATTGTCGTACAAATTCTTGAGATATAAGTTTTTCTGGATCACCAAATATTTCATGTTCTACCCTGAAAAATAAAATAGGTATCCAAGGGGTACATGTGTGGGATACAAACTCATTTGCATTAACAGACATGAGCCGATGACAATAGTGTGAGATACCAAAGGTATCCCACACAATAAACTAAAAAGCCATACATGTATTAAAAAAAAATACACACAAAATTGCACTAAGGTCTACAAAAAGTAATTCTAATGTAGACTTACAAGCATTTAAGGCAAGAAGACTTAATGTTAAAGAGGCTTGAATTGAATATGTTCAATATGTTGTCATTCAAACGGCTTGACTAACTAGTTTCAATTGATCTTCTTCACTTGAGTAATATATTTACATGTACCTTGGTTCAATGCCAAGCTTCTTTAATGTGTGCCACAACAATGCTAAATACAAACAAATATTAAATATTTCAGCATGTTGAATTTAATACATTTTATTAAAATACAGTCAGTTTATAAGGCTATTACAAAAACATGTAATTACAGCTTTAAAGGTTTCATTTCATTTCTGACATTGTTTGACTGGAAGATGGTGGAACTAAACAACAAACCAGACATTGGATGATGCCATACAAAACATAACGTTAATGATTTCAAATAGTATGTACATGCACATGCAAATTTGAAAAATGCTTGGATATTCACATCTGTTAAGCTTATCACCTAGCCAAACAGAGTGAAACCCTCTTTTGTGGGAATAAATTCAGGTACATGTACTTACATTCGCTAATCACATGGTCAGACATGAAAATCAAGCTCAATGCAACCATTAGCAGGCCCATTTTGGGAAGATCATCTCCCCTGCAACAACATCAGTTAAGGGAAAATTTATTAATACGAAAGAAAAATACTTAACATGTATTTAATCACTTTCAAGTGCAAACTACTCCAAGTACAGAAATTTGGGGTTGGCAATTGCATTTTGGTGTGAGTGATGTTTAGTGCCTTTTGTTGTGAATATTTTGTTTAATACTGTACATCATTGTTCACACCAATGGTTAATTATTTAATATTTGCTTTATTTTGCACAACACAAAATTTTTAATTCTCAATAATATCATTGTTTCTATTTTGTAATCTTTTCTCATGTTCTATATCTATCATCATTTCATCTCATTCCTGATCGTGCCCTGCAGGACCGGTCTTTCACAGATGCTGTTGCAGCCCCCCATGACTGCCATCCCCATCTCCTTTTGCTCTCTCTCTCTCTGCACTCCTCCAGGCTGCATTAAATAGGTTAGCTTCAAATATCAGAACACATGCTTCTCTAAATACATGTACACTGTATGATGTACAGCCTTAGGAGAGAACACAGGGTACATTTTACACTTGTTTATTTGAGCTCTGTACACATTGCTGTTTATCTGTGTAATAATTCAGTTTGTTAGTTTCTTTCTCATCCTTTCCATCCTTAGGTGAAGAGAGATTTATTTCTGTTACTTTTTGGTTTGGTATAACAACTAGGAAATAAAATAATCTCTCTTTATACCAAACAAAGC